TTATATAACTGATCTCATTTATTGGGACTTGCGGGACTCGCGTTCGGTTTGATAATATGGCTGGCAAATTAAACAATTTGCGATTCGGTTGTTGAATTAGTCATTCAGTAATATTATATGTATCAATTAATACACTAATTAATATACTAATTAATGACGTGATATAATTTAATTTTTTTTTTAATATTTATAATTTATATAATAAATAGAGTCAATAATAATGTTATAATTGATGTTGATACACTACTAATTAATACATGTAGGACCACTGTTATCTATTACCACAACCACTGCCACCTTGACCCACCACCCAAGACAACCCAGATCCCGCGACCATCAGCCACCCACAGCCGCGCCGCCTAAGCCACTCCCCACCATCCTTCCTCTCTCGTGTGAAACCATCACCTCTCCAAACCACCACCATCAGTCGTAGCCGCCGCCCTCCCACGCCGATGCCCCCTTCACCTCCGCACCCCCGTCCAGATCGAGAAACCAGCACCGCCGAACACCAGATTGCGAAAGGAGATCACAAAACCAAAAAAAGAAGGGACCGGTGGAGGTTGTGACGGGTGGGGACAGTGGTGGCTGGCTGGGGGTGCTTGCTGGTGCTGGTTAGGTTTGAAAGAGAAGAGGAAGAGTTTGTGCTAATAAATTTGTTTTTCCAAACAAGGCACAATGCATTTGGTATTATTTTTTCAAGTCAATCTCTACTGTGCTATTATTATTTTGTTTCCATTAAATTGAAATTATTTGGTAGTGTTCCCATTTTAATGATATTTTTGTCAAAATTTTGGTTAAAAGTTTGATTTGATGTTTATTCTCTATTTTTTCATCATTTTTTTTTTGAAAAATTTTAAATTTATTCTAAAATTTCATTTTTAAAAATGATGAAAGAAAATCATTTTCAATCCTTCTTTCTTTAAAATTCATCAAATTTGAGTAAGTATATGACTGTCGAAAATTCTTTAAAGTTCATCATTAATTAAGATTTTCTCTAATATAAGATGGATAAATATAGAAATCTGATACTCATGACAATCCTATTTCTTGCCCAATTGTGCCATATTCTTGGTTATCTTTACTCTTTTTCTTAGTGTTAATTCCACTTGTTAGTGTTCCTGTCACTTGCATTGCAGGGGATGAGCGCAGCAGGATTTGCTGTGCTGCCAAAACGGTAGCGCTTTGTTGCTGATTTTCCTTCTTTTTTTTTTTTTTTGGTTATTCTTCTTGGTTTTGCTTTTTTGGCTGTTTCTAATTTTTGCAATGATAGTACCTTGTTTGGGTTTGTTTCAAATCTGTTATTTACTTTTTATTTTTTAAAGTATAAATTAATTTGACAAAAATAAATACAAAAAAGATAGTTTCAAATTGTCAAAAACTATTTTCGCTCCAAAAAAGAAGAAAAGCATAAAAATGATAGTGTTTTTTATGTTGTTCATTTTATTCACCAAACTAGTTTTTAGTTTTTTTAAAAAATAAAAAAGAAACAGAAACAAAACCAAACAAGTTGAGTGTTTATTTATTTATTTATTTTTAATAATTCACAAATACCTCCACAAAATTAAATGTAATGTAAGGAAAAAATTTATTGACATATTTTTTATTTTATATTTGAGAATGCATATGAGTTGGGATTTTATGTACTGATTATTGTATTTTTGGTATTTTTAAAAAAGTCAAATAAGATTATTTATATATTTTTTGACATTGATATTTATTGGAGTATAACTACCTATTTTTATTGTCTACACGTAATGGCATATAATCTATAGATATTTATCATTATTTGATGATATAATGATATACATAGGGAAATACTTTTTTTACAGTCACTACCTATTTATTTTTGTCAAATTAATTTATATTTTAAAAAAGAAAAAGTAAAAAACAGATTTGTTTCAACAGCAAAAAAGGAAAACCAAGAAGAATAACAAAAAAAAAAAAGAAGGAAAATCAGCAACAAAGCGCTACCCGTTTTGGCAGCACAGCAAATCCTGCTGCGCTTGGAGAGCAGCAGGTACCCCCATCCCGCATTGCAGTAGCAGTAAACAATAATAGCCACTATTTTGCTTTATTCTTCCTAAGACGAGTGGTAAATTACACAGTCCTTTCTTTGAAGTTGGCAAAAATGCACATAGTTTCATTAGTATGAGATAATTGCATTGGTCTCCCCTCAAAGGAGACCTGCTTTAACTCCGTTAACAGAAGGAGTTTGATGAAAATACCCTCAAATGTTTCCTCTCCTTCCTTTCCAAACAGTCCAACCCCCTTCTGCCAATTCGGTAAAAACCCTCAACTCTGATATTTCAGCACAGAACAATGCAAGACCAAGGCTTGCACCGTAGCACATTTAAAACAACAAAATAACAAGCCTAATTGCACTTCTTTAATGTGCGTGCACACACACACACAAAAAAAGAGGCCTAATTGATACTGATTATTGTGCCTACAAATGCAACCATTCATGATTGGATCTATGAGAAAAGCTAATCCACCATACATTAACAAAAACAAAAGCCTGATCTGCCCAATCCATTGAACCTAAACATTAGAAAACCTAACAAAAAAAAAAAAGATGGACTTTGGTTTGATTTCAATTCTCTTATATATGACCACTTGAATCAATGTCTATTATTAGTTTCTTTTAGTAAAGTGCAGAACACAAGGAATGAAGCATCAAATGGTTTGGTATGTTGTACTGAACATTATTATGATCATCATGTCCTCTTTTCTCTTGCCTGTTGGTGCCAGTGAAGACAGTATTAGAGCAGGAAAATCTATCAACATTAACGAAGCCTTAACTTCAGCTGGAGGAAATTTCGCATTAGGCTTCTTCAGTCCAGGCAATTCTATGAACAGCAATCTCCAAACAAACAGTTATATGGGTTGCTAACAGAGAAAACCAGCTTGCTAAAAATTCTCATGGAGTTTTTGGGCTCGGTGATGATGGCAATATTGTGCTTTTACATGGAGGGAAAAAAGTTATTTGGTCATCAAATGCAACAATTGCGAAATTGGCCATGAACTCCACAGTTACAGTGCTGTTAGATACTGGAAATCTCGTTCTCAGACATGGTGAGACAGGCACTGTATTAGGGCAGAGTTTCGATTATCCAGCTGATACTCTCATTCCTGGCATGAAACTTAGCTTGAATAGGAAAACTGGCCAGCAAAGCCTTCTGTACTCGTGGGCCAACAATGCAAATCCTCGACCAGGAATGTTCTCCAGAGGTATAGATCCTGAAGGGTGTCCACAGATTTTCATTTGGAAGCAACATCATCCCTTTTGGAAAAGTACTGTATACGACTATAGTTTGGTTTATATAGATCACATATATCAAGGGTTTGGCTCCTTTTTAACTTTCATCAAAGAAAGTGATGAAATTTATCTCACTTGCAGTGTCTCAGAAAACTTGCTTAAAGTAAGAGTCACTTTAACTCCTACTGGGCAAGCTCAGCTGCTGTTTTGGGCACAAAGTAGCAATTCATGGGTAGTAGTATGGCAGGCTCCAGTAGTTGAATGTGATTTTTATGGGTATTGTGGTCCATTTAGTAGCTGTGAGCAAAATGGATCACATCCATTTTGCAGTTGTTTGGAGGGTTTTGAGCCCAAAGATCAGAAAGAATGGAATCTTGGAAATCGGACAGGAGGCTGTGCCAGGAAGATGGAATTGACATGTGATAAGGGAGATTGATTTTTTAAGTTTGAAAGAACTAGATAACCTGATTATTCAGTGTCTCTGGGAAATATGACTGTTAGTCAATGTGAATCCAAATGTCGTCACAGCTGCTCTTGCACAGCTTATGCTTATGCTAATCTGACTATAGAAACTACACTGCACTGTGTGAATTGGTTTGGGGCTTTGGTGGATCTAAATCATAATGCCTTCATTGGCAAAGATCTTTATGTTTGCCTTCATAGCTCTGACCAAGGTATGTATGATGTCTTGGTTGATTTCTGTTGAAGGCACTCTTTTTCTAAATTTTAGCCCAAGTCATGTAGTTTGTGATGGTGAGCTAATTTTCTGTGTTTTGTTATTCTTGTGCAGTTAGTAATGCTAAGACTGGTAACTTGACCCCTAAAAGAAGAATTCCGATTGCAATTGCAGCAGCTACTATCTCTACAGGATTGCTATTTATTAGTATCATTGGCTATGTCTTAAGGAGGGGAAGGTTGAGAAATCCAGGTACAATCTCTCCGTCTCTCTCTTGAGTGTTGTACACATTTAGTCCTACACACTTGGAAACACAAATTGAAGTTACCAGTACACTTCTAGTTTCCCATGCATGATTTTGTCCACTGATTACTCCAAATACAGAGAGAATAGAACCAGGCGTGAAAAAAATTGACACAAACTCTAGTGCATCTGTTGTTGGGCCAAATGATGGAGAATTGTTATCATTCAGTTTACAAAGTATATTAGCTGCCACAGACAACTTTTCTGAAGCAAAAAAAACTAGAAGAGGGTGGGTTTGGACTGGTTTATAAGGTAACTATTCCAAAACTGTGATATTTTTTCATTTATTTTTTACTCATTTCAGTGTATCTAAGACTCAATTGACACATTTTGTAGGAAGTTGGAAAGGGAAAATTTGTTCTTTCATCCTTCTTTTTTTATTTTTGTTTTTTGTTTCTGTCCAGGGGAATTTTCCTGAACTACAATTAGCAGCTATAATCCTTCTTTTTTTATTTTTGTTTTTTGTTTCTGTCCAGGGGAATTTTCCTGAACTACAATTAGCAGCTATAAAAAGACTCAAAAAAATCATTGCAAGGAATGGAAGAGTTCATGAATGAGCTGAAACTTACTGCCAAACTCCAACATAAAAATCTTGTCAGACTATTGGGTTGTTGTGTTGAAGTGGAGGAAAAGATACTAATCTACGAGTTGATGTGCTGCGGAAGCCTAGACAAATTCCTATTTTGTACACCTTAAGATCTTTTTCAATTTACTTCAGATAAAACATATTTCCTTTAAGTTTTGAAGCTCCGATTTTCATTTTTCAATCACTGATTGTGATAACTTTTCATTAGATCCTTCTAAGCAAGCCAATTTGGATTGAAGTAATCGCTTCCCGATCATAGAAGGGATTGGTCAGGGTCTTATTTGCTGTCATAAGTATTCTAGACTGAAAGTCATTCACAGGAATTTAAAAGCAAGCAATATTCTGTTGGATGAAGCTTTGAATCCCAAAATTTTGGACTTTAGAACCGCAAGGAGTTTCAGAATAAATCAAACTGATGCAAATACTAGGCGGCTGGTGGGCACATAGTAAATATAGCAGATATTTCCATTCATCTGAACTTTAAATAAGATAAGTTTATTTTATACTACTGCTGAAAATATAATACTGCTGCTGCTACTGTCAGTATGGTTGTTAACATTGTCATTGGTGATGCAGCAGTTACATGTCACCAAAATATGCGTTGTATGGGCAATTTTCTGAGAAATCAGATGTATTCAGTTTTGGAGTGTTATTGTTAGAGATTGTGAGTGGTAAGAGAAGCACTAATTCTCATCAAACTGAACATTCTCTAACCCTTATAGGCTGGGTAAGTAGGATACGTCTTTTTATTTTTTTCTATTTTTTATCCACTTATGTTGGTTATTTGTTTTTTGGATATATAAGATAAGTATTAATTATGAAATTTTTTTTGGATGTCTTTAATTTGTCCAAGGCATGGGAAAATTGGAAAGAAGGTAGTTGTTTGGAGTTAATTGATCCATCAATTAGGGATATATGCAACCTTCAGGAGGCATTGAAATGCATTGCTGTGGGGCTATTGTGTGTTCAAGAATTTCCGGGTGATCGACCAACAATGTATGCATCAATTCTCATGTTGAGAAATGAAAATGCGTCAGTTCCATCACCCAAAGCACCTGCCTTTTCTACTTATACGAATTTCAACATGCCAGCTATTCTTCCCAAACATCTAGTAGCTATTTCAACAATGAAGTGACAATTACCATGCCAGAGGCTCGATAAGAAGCTCTCGATTTTCAACTACACAAAGATTTCCATAAAGATGAACTGCATACAGAACTGATGTTTCCGGTAGAGTATGTTATGGTAGTAGTATTAGCACACAAGAAGTATACATATGATGACATTGTCACTTTCATGTGTACAATTTATACTAGTAAGAATTCGTAGAAGTTCTTCTCATTAATTTAATTATCAATATTGCATAAATACTATGCTAGTATCAGAATGAAGAGCAAGTTTATTTTTTCTTGCTTATTGGACAAAGCTGAGAGTGATCTTGGAGACAATCATATACCTTTGGATCAACAACTTGGATTTGATTATACAACCAACATCATTAGTCTTGATTTAAAGATGATTTGAAAATCATCATTGAGTAAACCATGAGAGGGTTAGATCAAGTAGAATTTATCCATCTCCTCACGCTTTTATTTTCAGGGTAATTTGCTTGAAATTAAAGAAGCTAAGCCATAAAAAAGCTATCTAAAAAGGAAATATTACAAGAATTAGAGGAGTAAATGAATGAGTTGAAACTTATTGCCAAACTCCAACACACAAATTAATCTTGTTAGGCTTTTTGGGATATTGACATATACTGATCTATTGAATAGATGCCTATTCTGTACATTTTAAATATGTCTTTCCTAACCTGTCTCACATTTTTAGTTCAGATTTTCTCCAAGATGCTCAATATTGGAAAAATATTGACATCTAAATTACACTCATTGCAGGTGGCACTTGCATTGTGCCTTTTTTGCTCCAGGTTCTACCTTATTGACTCTTGCATTTTCCATTATATAAAACTTAGCAGGTAAAGAAATCTCATTAGTGGCATGCGTTTACCTCCTTCACTAATTATCTTTACTACTTTCTTAGTACTAATTCCACCTTATAGTTGCTGTCACTTTCACTATCAAGCATTAATTTTCTAGGCTTCACCCCCCCCTTCCTTTATTATTCTTCCTATCTAACACAATAATGGTATCATATAAGCCGCCAACCATATCTATATCTGTCTATCTAAATTTAATAATAAGCAACTTGTTTAGTGTCCTTGTCATAGCTATTAGCAAGCTTGATCGTCTTTACATTTTGGTTAAGATTTTCTCCATGTTAGAATGTAAAATAAAGGAATTTAGGGTTGGGATTTAGGAGGAAGGAGAAGAAGAAGAAAGAGAAATTTTATATATGTTGAATAATCATTATCCCTCAACTTTACATCAGCAAAATATATATACAAGCTCTAACATAGTAATATGACCATCATACCCTCAATTTACATAAATATTAACAAGAGAACAAAAGAACAAAAATAAGTATTCTACCACTTTCCCTCAAGCTGGAGAGCATAGAGATTGAACATGCCCAGCTTGACGGATAAACAATGAAATGAAGATCGAGCCAAAGGCTTGGTTAGAATATCACCCAATTGATCTGTAGAATGAACATAAGGAGTTACAAGTTGCTTGCGGAGTAAGAGATCAAGAATAAAATGGAAATCAACTTCTATATGTTTGGTGCGTTCATGAAACACGGGATTACTGGCAATGAAGATAACATCCTGATTGTCACAAGACATGCTCATAGAAGTGAGAACAAAAAAGTCAAAATCTCGGAGAAGAGATTGAACCTAGAGCATCTCAGAAACAGTATGAGCGATGGCACGATACTCAGCCTTGGCACTAGAACGAGCAACAATAGTCAGGTTCTTGCTACGCCAAGTAACAAAAGTACAATAGCCCAAGGTGGAACGACGGTCAGTCTTATTACCAGCCCAATCAGCATCACTGAAGCTAGTGATAGACAAAGAGGAAGATGGGCGATAGAGCAAACCCCGACCTAGAGCACTCTTCAAGTATTGCAAGATACGACACACAGTCACAAAATGGGGTTGGCGGGGAGCATGCATAAACTGATTGACCACACCCACGGCATATGTAATATCTGGACGTGTGACAGTGAGAAATATTAACTTCCCAACCAACTGACGATAACGACCAAAATTGGGAAATAAGTCCTCAATGTAACTATCAAGCTTGACACTAAAATTCATGAGAGTATCACTAGTGCGAGTGCCTAAGAGGCCAGTCTTAGTAACAAGATCAAGCACATACTTCCGTTGAGAAAGAAACAAGCCCTGAGAAGAGTAGGCAACTTCAATCTAAGAAAATACCGAAGATGGCCCACGTCTTTGGTGTGAAATTGTTGGCCCAAATACTGCTTCAAATCAGCAATACCATTAGAGTCATTCACTGAAATGATGATGTCATCCACATAGACAATAAGAACAATACTCCTAGTAGACGAGTGGCAAACAAAAACAGAGTGATCAAAGGTGGAACGGTGAAATCCACAGGTAAGCATAACAGCACTGAAGCGATCAAACTAGGCACGAAGGGACTGCTTAAGACCATACAAGGCCTTCCGTAATCGACAAACAAGATGCTCCTAGCCAGGAACAACATAACCAGAGGATTGATCCATATAGACCTCCTCTTGGAGATCACCATGAAAAAAGACAATATTGATGTCAAGTTGATATAAAGGCCAACTCTTATTAACTGTAATGGAGAGAAGAATCCAAACAGAGTTAAGACGAGCCACAGGAGAGAGTCTCCAAGTAATCAACACCATATGTCTGTGTGTAGCCTTTAGCTACCAAGCGAGCCTTAAGTTGCTCAACAGTTCCATCAGGAAGATACTTAATAGT